TGCTGGTTACTGTGTTGTGGTAACCGATTTGGGATGTAATTTGTGAAGTTTGTGGCTCCGGTTTAGAAGCTTGGGAGTTACACATTTTAACTGATGCATACAATGTCAGTAAACGCGTGTTTCATTCACTTGTTGTCCGATATCATTTTTAATTAATTTGTAATATAAGTCGCAGCGCGAGCGGCAGAGCCCAAATATGGCAGGGTCGCCATGTAAGGATGGAAGCTGGTGTCGATGAGTGAAACGAGCGAAGGCTGGTATAACACTGATTTATTGAGAATAGTACGGGTATACATATAGTACGCATAGGTCTACACTACATGTGTCCTCTTTGTATTTTTAGTACACATAGTTCTGAATGCAACGTACGCGTGTATAAACTTGCAAAAACTGACAATTCAAATGAAACAAGTTCGGCTATGCGTGACATATTGCATAACCGTGACCAATGTTCAATCGATAGTCGATAGAATATTTATCGACTTCAATCTTGAAAAGACTACAATCAATGCATGCAAGCCTTGCAAGACTTTTGCGCAAAGAACTGTCATTTTAGTCCATCTTCAAAAAAGACAGACTGTAAACCACCTCAACACATTTTGCTTTGTCCAAATTATCTGGGCTAAGGGACATACTACAAAAAGTTATCTTTTCAACTTGCTCGATTTTTCAATGTTAGACATTCTAACAAAATTAAAACTGCAAATAGGGAGTAAGTATTCCTTATACATGAAAATCTAAAATATATGCTGCTAGCTTTTTTGATAAAAGTTTACAATCTACTTACAGTGGTGAAATGAAGACGCGAAGTGTCTATAATAATAAATTGTTGATATCGTCTTATCGAAATCTTTATAGTAAAAATAAATTAAAATATATAATCTAATAAATGAAGTTCCTAAAGAAATAAAAATATCGTTAAATTATAAAAACATCAAACCTAAATTAAAAAATTACTTTTTAGAAAAAACAAAAAATAAATACGCGATTGAAATATACAATAATTATAACCTTCTAATTTTAACTAACAACATACATAGGTACTAAGTTTAAATGTATTAAATAGACTCGTGTTCAGCGGTGGGATGTACATACAAGGATCAAGGTTTAGTGACACCCTTTATTAACGATTCTCACGCACACTAAGAGAATGTCAACACGCAGCAGTACGAACGCACACACAACACATAGAAATTTATTTGTACGACAAGTGCGAAACCGGATTCATCCCCTAGTTTGCCACCTTTAGAGGTGGAATATATTCCTCAAATTTAAAGAGGACCAAATACTGGGGTACCTTTTTTCCAATACAAAAAGAATCGTCAAAATCGATTCACAAATCCGAAGTTATCGCGTACATATATATGTACATAAAAAAGTAGGTTAAAATAACCGTGGATATAAAAGCCGTACATCGCATTTAAATTAAAAATTTATCGCATAAAACAAACAGGAATTTCCAACTCTAATGATTGACGCTACAACATACCAAGTATGTGTTCTGAATATTTTATATTTCTTTAATATCTTAACTCGTAGGTACTAATTATAACAGGGGTTAAGTGGTAACCCTTAATTAAAGTTACATATTAATATTTGTATAAAACGGTACATCGTAAACTACAGTAAATTATTCACGGGGGAGTTCCAAATCACAGCCCGGGAACCAGCAATCATCGGGAAATTTACCCATGTATGTTTGATGCGACTAAATGCTTTTCGGTCTTTTCCCATGCGGCGATCGCTAGTAATTAGGCCAATATTTAGATCAACAAACATATTATGACAGTCTTAGATAGAGCCCAGAAGGCACCACTGCGCCCGATAGAAGTGTTTAACAACTTAACAACGTCAGAGATCTTTGTTGTATTGCCACAACAATGCACGAAGTAAGGTTTGAATTCGTTCGGAATTCTACGAATAATTACCGTGTGTTGTTGGTAATTTTGAAGTAGTATATTAACGGAAGCGTTTGTTGGTGAATGAAAATTATTAGATATTGTGTTGTGTAATCAAGATTATTTTGGACAAATATCCAAGAATAGTTGCAAAAGATATATGTGCCATATGACGTATTTTATGTGTTAGAAAACCACATCGATTGCCTTTCCAGAACACCCAGACCAGAACCAAGAAAAGATCATTTCCCAAATTGGTACTACCGGGAATTGACACCGGGCCCTCCGCATCCAGCACCCACAATGTAAGCCACCGAAGTCATCAGAGTCGTGGAGTAAAATTTTTATGTTATCAAACCATAGCTCTATAAACAAATTTAAAAAAGACAAAAATCAAAGAGATTACCTACTTAATAGTATAAAAAGTAAAACAAAATATTAAATCTCAATGTTGCAATATAAAAGTAGCTAAGTACTAGGCTCTACTCTATGAGTAGAATTACTGGCTGAGTGAATATAGTTTTATATTTAGAATGTGTTTTGAAATAGGAGATTAGACAGAATAGAACTTCTTGATAGTTCGAGATGTAACCTCAGTAAGAAAATATGTAAAAAGTACAATAAATACCAAGTTTTTGAAGATTATCCCAGTTCATATTTATAAAAGTACCTCTCGCTACGCAACACGAGGTACGTCCAGTTTACAGTACCTATCATAAGGCTTTATACCCGTAATGAGTTTACTTTGTGATATGGCTGACAAATTTAAATTTTGTTTCTTGCTGTTGTGAAGCATTTGTGAAATTACATTTATGAAATGATTAACAGACGAGTACGTAAAGTTGAATTAAATAAATTAATAAATAAAACAATTCATTCCATTTAATTGTAATTTATTATCCATTCATAGATGGTAAAAAAGTCACACTTTTCCAATGTCTTCACAATATGACAAATATAAAAACATTAGACAAGTTGATTCAAAATAGAAAAATTAAAGACGATCTAAATTTTCAAATTACGTAACTAATTCTAAAGCTTATAATCTAATTGATTACATTATTCTAGATAGTATACTTCGCTAGGTGTATGTTAGTTATTAAAGTGCATTCTAGAACATTCGAATATACGTTTTAGCTATTACGTATTGTTGAAATTGTTTTGATTTAAATCATATCCGTATTATCAGCAAAGTTGACGCGTTACAATCTTAAGAGTGATTTTTACATGCAGGCAATGGTAGTCAGTAGCGGCTACATTGTCTTGTCAATCAATTGGCCTTTAAGCGCTCGACTATATTGTTAATATAAAGTAAATTACAATGAAAAAAGAATTAACAAAACTTTTGACGGGGCTAGCCATTACCTTTACTTGCAAAAAAAACTGGGAAAGTGTCAACTTTGCTGGTAGACTTGCAAATGCAATGCATATTGACACTATTGTTAACTATTGATATCACCCTACTACAATTAACTTAAACTTGGCTAAAGGAGTCACACCTTTCTAAAATTTGGCCTTAATTGGCTATCTACCTCGGCAAAATATATGCTTCAATATTTTGAACTAATACAAAATGGCAGTCGAAAGTTCATTATAAAACAAAAATATCATCCGCAGATGTCTTAGTCACTCTACAGTCTTATACATCATTTCAATTGTGTTTATAAAATAAAAAAAATTCTCTCACACATTGATTAAAAAAATATAAATGCGCATAATAATAATACCAATTAAATAGACAACTACGAAATACGATTTTAAAGCCTATAAAAAAATCTTAAATTTACGTTACCCTAGTTTCCGATTATCGCATTCTATACGTTGCCGTATAAAAAAAAATCGACATAATCAATGCAGGGCGTCAAAATACTTCGTAAAGTTATAATTGGAAGAAATCAATGATTTTATTTCTGAATCTTAGCACCATAATAATAATTAAAATTTCGTTCATACCAGATAGGTACATCGCATACTAACATTAATAGTGTTACAACTCAAAAATCTTAACTTTTTTGCTCATGCAGATATTTTCGTACCTTTCGAAAAAATTATAGCAACAACACAAATTAGTATTTCAAAGCATAATTATCCCTTTTTTTAATTTATGTTATCGCATTTATGCCTTGTTAGTATTCAAGCCGGTGGGCGACTTATTAATCAGAATGCAGTGTTCAATTTCTCATAAATTAAAATTTTATTTTTATGAAATATCGTGTAGGAAAATATTGCCATCAAAACAATTAAGTAAATGTGTCAAGTTCAACATTTTTAAGTAACTTTCAATACATAATAATGTGCTCGAATTCAAGTTAATTTGTCACTCGAAATGAGATCTATTTTTGTGAACTCACAAATTCAAAGCTGCTTCCGTTTTATCACAGGAACATGGTCAGGAGCACGTCAAGCTTGACACTTATGATTTAAATTCAACTCGTATGTCGTTGACAATAACAACGGTTCAAAGTACAAAGTGTCGAGCTTGATGAGCTTTCCACTATACGTTTATTGAAACTGTACTTGAACTTTAAAGTGTATCTTCAGTTTTATTTTTACCATTTTCAGTATACACTAAGCTATACTTAGTATAAACTGGAAGATTAATTTCTATTTCTTAGAAAAACACATATTAGCAATAAATACGTTAAAAAAAACAATTTGTACTTGGTGTTCATCGAATAAACTGATATTGATATGAGGAGAACATAACTTCAGCGTTTTATAGAAAGGGCGAAAGCGCGATTTCGAAAAAATTCAGAGGAGCATTTTTTAGGTTTCAACGATTGTTCTAAAACATTTACGTCGGGTTTTAAAATTTAATTTTTGTTGTAATTAACTTCAACTTTTAAAACTGAATTTAAAACAGGACGTAAATAGTTTAAAACAGTCGTGAAAAACTAAAGTGCTTTCCGAGAAAATTTTCGAAATGGCGCTTTCGCCCTTTCTACAAAACGCCGACTATAATTATGCAACAAAGGTAGCATTAAAACATTCAGTGAAATTATTTTTAGAAAATTAAATTGTGTGTCTGGCATTGTAAAAACCATGCAGATTGCTCGGTACCTGTGAATGATCTAAATATAGATCTTTACATTACGAGCAATTTATATTTCTCTTTAAATCGCGCTACAATAGCTAGCTAACAACACTTTAGATGCTACCCACACGCCGTTCTCTATCTGTGAACATGGCTATTTAATTATATACTGGTCTAATATTCATGGTATAACATTTTATAAATCATCGTACATAATAATAGTACGTCTGCGTAGCCGCTTATTGTAATTACGTACAACCATGTACATACAAAAGTGGGATAGTTTTTACCATAGTAATGTTGTCCTGCTAGCTGTTGTTGCTCAATTTGTACTAGGTTACACAATTATAGATGGGAAATAAATCTGCCCTAAAGGTCGGTATCATACCAAGCCGCGACATTGTTGTTATCGTGCGGAGGTTCGGGGAACGCTAAGTCAGCTGATGTGGCCCCCGCTCCCTCTGCTTCGCCGATATCCATGTCCATGCCGAAGCCACTCCCAATTTCCAACCCCTGCATTGAGTCTATCGGTATTTGATCGTATCCTGGAAATATTTTAATATTGGTAGAATTGATTTTCAAACGGTGCTACTAAAGCGAAACATACACAACCGTACTAGTTCTATAACAAAGAGCTGCACTAAAGAACAAAAAATAAGGTAACTGTTCTCCTTCGCAAGCACGATAAGGAAATGTTTCAAAAAGTAATAAACTATTATTACACAAAAAGAACTGAATTAATAAAATTAGATTATGAAATAAAATACCTACCTACATTTTATAAGAAACATTGACAGTGACATATTACAACTAATTCATCAGGAAAAGGTTTGAAATTACTTTGGCCTATCTAGTGTTGGGTCATGGAAAAATTTATATTTTACTGATTTTACTGAATATTTTCTCTATATTTTTCTGCATTTGACAGTTAACACATGTCAAAAGTTAAAGATACTAAACGAAAACAATGGAGCCATTAAAAAATTTTTTAGCTATGTTTCTATTTTATGTTTCGTTCTCTTTTTTCGCTATTGTGTAATTTGAAATCTCGTTATACTGTAACTTGCTTCTAGCTATACAATTTTATTTTATAATTCATGCTAAATAAAACATCAAACGATATATCTAAACATAGAACATTATATGAGCCTTAGATTTATATATACGTATTTTTCCAATTTTTTAGATATTTTTCTGGATTTCCACTTCTTAAAATTTTTCGGAAAATTACTCAATATTACGACGTTTACCTTCCAATGTCACGTTATTGTGTTAACTGACAGAGGGGCCCAGTGTCTTATTGATAATAACATTAAAACGACTATTTCGTTCTTTCAAATTGGGGATCGAACATATTGTTGTAGTAAGCGACTGAAAAACTTAACTCATATATTTAAAATCCAAAGCAACATAACACATAAATACTCGCATTATAATTCCTATTTGTCATAAATAGGATATTAGTTAATTGTGCAAAATAAGTTAGTAAATTCGAACAAAAAACAAAAACTTGCCCTTAGCCGAATTTCAAATGGTCAACAAAACATTCAAAGAAACTAACATCATAACGTGTTAATACCGACATAAACAAGCGCAATCAAATGCATAAAACATTAAATGATATTAGATAAAACCTTAAAAATAAATCCCATCACCTGTTTACTGGTAAATAGGTCCCAGTTTAAGCTGCGTGTAAAGAAGAGAAACATTATACAAACACTGTTCAAAGTAACAATCACCATTAGTATATAAAAGAGTTAAATATTAATTTCTAACGGATATAATTATATTTTTAAAATAACTATAACGTAGATATTCATTTCTTAAATTTACCGAAGATATAAGTATGAAGTAAAAAGAATGTTCTAGCAGCTAACAATGCAAGTTCCGAAAATGCATGGAGTTTGATAAAATACTGTTCAAGTAGGAAGCTGCAGCACTATGGAATTCTAGCATTAATGCTTTTCAGGAATAGTTTTGATTCCCGTTTTGCGCTAACAAGCAGGCAATGAGATTGGGTGGATGGTTTTAGATGTTACGTTTGAAAGCAGAAAAATAGTTTTATCAAATGTATATTGATTTTTATTGAATATCATAATGATATCCATTTCATTTTTTTGTGAAATTACTCCATTAGTCTGTTATAATTATTAATAAAAAGATCGAACACAAAAAAATCCTTCGACCTGAATTCGAACTTGTGTCTGTGCCAAACCAGGGGCACCGCTCTACGAACTGAGCTACAGAACGAGTCAGTAAAACATAACAAATTTGTCTAAGTGTTTGTTACGGATCTTTTGTATTGGGTTTTTACGGAGCTTATCGCCGTAATCGAGGTCTGTCAGAGATCTATGAAGCTTCTCATACATCAAGGTATACTTTTTAAAAATTATACCTTATACATTAGTCTTATGAGTTCGCGGTAGCTATCGGAATTAGTTAACTGAGTTTAAATCATAGTCTGCTGTCTAAATAAGACAAATTTAATAGTTTATTTAAGATTATTTCATAATTTGAGCCTTATAGAGTAATATTTCATTAGTCACGCGTGCAATTTTGATATGGCAGTTAGTTTTTATATAATATTTAACAGGAATTATTAAAATTTAGTAATTAACTACTAGGCATAGCATACTTCATTTCCCCGTACCGGAAAAGTTTAGAAAAACTTTAACTTTAATGCTATTTATTTTGTGCCAAACCAAGAGCCACGGTTTGTGAGGTGAAATTGACAACATGCAGTGAATAGAAAGTAGTACATTATTATCTGTGATATAGTGTTGCACTCCGAGTACTTACGATAAATGTATCGATATTATCGTGACGTTAAGGAGACGACACTACTTAACAAGCTTATATCGGTATGCACTCGATAGTATCTACTATAAATAGTTTCCAATGCAACACTACTTTGACGGATGCATGTGGTTGTTCTTATACTAAATTAATAACGTGGCGTGTTGTTAGTCGTTCAAACATGTGTGAAGTCTAGGATTCTTACCTTGCTGGTACGACGGTCGTGTGCCGTACAGCCCTTCATATCCTTGCTCTGGCCCGAGCATATCCTATGGGTAATTAGGGTGAAAAATCAAATACAGGAAAGTAAATGCGGAACAAATTAAAATAGGAAACAATAAAATTAGGAATTGGAAACAAATTAATTGAACTAAAAAGATGGATATGGGCCAAAGATATACGATTGACTGATATACAGATAAATGTAATGGCCTAAACGGCTATTATAAGCTGACAAAGTATTTTTTGTTATAATACGACCTAGATTTAGAGCAATGGAGACTTGAGTGGCAAAATGATTGAGATCACATGACATTTTATCAATCACCGCAATTTAAACTCGGTTACAGCTTGATCCTTTTTGTATTCAGAATAACACTAATGACCATACATCAAAACAAATGAATTTTTACTGGTTTTTTATAGTACTTATTTACTTCTTTACTACTCATTGTTTGTGTTTTTCTTTTGGTTGATTCTGCATCTTTACGTTGAGTTGTAATGAAAGCTTTCTATTTTAGTATCAAAATTTAGATATATCTTATTAATTTTGATATGGATTCTTCAAATATTTTTTTAAATTAAATTTAAATTCTTCGTTCAAATAACGTCAAAGGTTGTCTCAAACAAGTTAAAATCCTTTATAAATATTATTACTTCTGACTGCCCACAGGCTGACCTAAGGTGCACCACTTTTTTAACTGCCTCCGTGGCCGAACGGTTACCATGCCGGACTGCCATGCAGAGGTCCTGGGTTCGATTCCCAGGCCGGGAGAAATATGTGTATGGCCTACATTTATTTCTCTCGTGAGTTTGGGTGTAATTTGTGGTTGTCTATGTGTGTGTCCATGGCACCCGCGACACAGGGTTTCCCTAGTGCGGGGCTATGTTGAGTGTGTACGTGTACGTGTACCACACTAGTCCTCAACACAAAGACAGACCTACTACATATCGCCAGGTATATTATGAGAGTAGATGATTTCTGCCCGAGGTCATCAGATATTAAAACTTATTTTTAGATTTTAGTTCAGTCCTTTAACGTTCTTCCATACATTTGTCTTGTAATGAAAAATTCGTAAAAATATCAAATTTCAATGCCAGCCTAAAAACAGACGTTTGCTTACATGCCAGTAATCAAATAACAAGTTGTTTAAAGCTACCTCGAATCGTTAATCACGTATACCCAGCGACAGTACGAGTGGACTGGGCGGGTTTCCAGAATTGAAAAATCACCTGTAAGTCTGGTTGCATGCCAAGATCGCTGGGCCACATTTGGTGGTCGTCGCGGAACAGCGAATTAGTCAGCTCCATGGAGAGTCTCTTCTTGTAATCATGAGGCTTGTCTTCCGACATGCGGAACAGTACTGCTGCTGCGTATGTTGCGACGCCTGTAAAGATTGTTTAACATAAATATTAAAAAATAGTCTTACTGTATAATAGTAAAACTGTATTGTCAACATTGGCATACATATCGCCCGGGTGGCTTTGTATATAACAGCCTGTGTGGATGATGTGTCAAAGAGGCGTTACGTTATGCATAGTTAAATAAATCAAAATTGCTTGAAGCTCAATCCATTGACAATGTTTTTTTTTATTGTAAATTATACGAATAACGGCACTAATTGGACAAATAAAGATTCAATTCCGTGTAATCCACCCAATAACTCATTTTTACACCCGTTTTCGAATAAAATCACTTTATTAAGATACGGAGATTTATTATTACCTTCGTTACGTGAATGGAGTAGCTCGGTAAGCGGAGCTGTGGCCCCTTCGGCTTCGATCATTTCGGCCCCTTCTTTGTCGGCTGCCAGCTCGCAGAGTACGCCCGCAGCCACACGCTGTCAAATAGACAAATTCTTAGGTACACAAAGATTTTTTTGAATATAATATCAAGTGATGGGACGAACAAATCGTGCGCCTAATGGTTACCTATCAGTAGTCCGAAATGACATTTTACAGAAATAACGTTTGGTCGAAATTTCATAACCTCGAAAGTAATTTTGAGAGGAAAATGTTTTTTTCTTTTAAACCTAACTTAACCTAATCTAACCGAACCTAATCGTGTCTTTGCGATAAACATTCAACATAATATGCTGAAAGAACAACTGTTTCGTTATAATTCGGTTTTCGGTGTAATGAAAATTCGAAGAAACGTTATTTCGGAAATTTTCGAGTTTGTGATAGTTTACCGCGCCTAATGGTAAGCTACACGCCCATCCATAACAGTTGCAGTGCTACTCAGAGCTTTAAATCGCAAAGATCTGAGGGGCACTGCCCCTGCGCCCGACACACTGAAACATAAGTTGACAAGTTCCATGTGCCTGTAATTTCACCAGCACCCTTACCCTTCAAAACCGGAACACAGTAATGCTGACTAACATTACTGCTTGACGGCAGAAATAGGCAAGGTGGCAGTACTTCCCTGGACGAACTCTAAACAATAAGCACTATCGTTTACAAGTTTTATGTCAATGAACTTCGTTGTCTTTTCAATTAGGAAGCCTCAACTCACCTGTATGTTCTCGATTTCATTGAAAAGCAGCTGCACAAAAATCGGTATAACGTTCTGCTGGCGAACGAGCTGGCGATTGACCCCCTCCCTCGCGAGGATGTGCAGTGCGCCCACGGCCCCTTCGACGATCTCTTCCATGCGCACACCGTCGGCGTACGCGCCGCCCGTGCCGGTGCCGCCAGAGACAGAATTGCGTTGCTAGAAATTAGCAAATGTTAAAATGTATTTCTATAAGTACTTCGATTCTTGAAGAATTAAGTTTTTAACTAATTTGTAATAGCCATAAATGGTCATAATTGTCTAATATATCACATACAAAACGGCAGTTAAAAGTTAAAGTTAAAGTTGTGCTGTTATGGCACATAACGACTGGAACGGGAGTTTTGGAACTACTGACGACTACCAATCCAACGACTGTTTAGTCGCAAACCATGGTAATCCACCAAGGCTTTGAATTTGCCTGCAAAATGAATATCAGAAATAGGTAGTAAGCCTCACTCTCTGTGTGTCGTTGAACGCGCGCATTAGCAGGCGCACGAGGTGGTGTACGGCGCCGTTCTCGCGCAGCGGCGCGTGGTTGGCGGGGCACAGCGCCAGGTTGCGCACGAGGCCCACCACCGCCTTTACCAGCGGCCAGCGCGACGGCGGCTGGAGTAGCTTCACGATCACCTGCAATGCCACAATATTAGTCTGTATTCAAATTTCACATTAGAAACATACAAAATAGTAGATTGTACAACAAGTGCATAAAACGCGTCATTTTACCCGAGACGTGGATACTTAAGTCGAGGGTAAAATAGGTTTTATGAACGAGTTACACACTCTGCTTTTCACTTCGATCGCGAGGAAATTAAACGGCAATATTAAAAAGAAACGATTATTTTCTATACGTGACTCAGGTCGGACTACATAATGCTCTGTTATATTTTACAAGCTTTTATTTTATTTCGCATTTCTATTTCTTATAACTTATTAGAATTACTATTGCCTATTTTTTTAATTTTGTAATATAACACGGATTAAAAAAATAAAAGTAAAACTTTATTTTATAAACTTCTTCAAGTTAAAAGTTAATCTTGGACACTAACTACTAGAAACAATTTCAAATCACTTTTGGCTCTCAGAATACAACGTTGGTGTTTTGTAAGCGACAATTCGTAAATTTGTAAGTGGAGTTTTAGGTTTAGCTAGTATTAAAATTCAATAAACCCACAATTGATTTTAAAACAGCGACGTAAATATTTTAAAACAGTCATTGAAACCTAAAACTTGCTCCCTATACATATCAATAAAATGTCGATTACGCCCTTTATCCAAAACACCGACTATAACGAAATAAGAGAATCAAATAAATACACTAGGATTTCAATGTGAACTGAATTAGAATCTTACCGGCAGTCCATAGTGCAAACGGACAGCATTTTGCGCCATCTCGCTTTCCACGTGGCGAGATGTGAGATGGCGCAAAGCGCACACCGCGGGTTCGGTAATCTCCTCGCGGTCACCGGCGGACACTACGGTGCGGACGAGGGCGTCCACGCCGCCAGCCTGGCACACTGTCACCTGTCAAACAATTTATTAATACTTATTGTAGGATAAATTTAATATCAAGCGGCATTCAGCTCCATTGCCAGTCTGATTAGGATAAACAAAATTGTTGTTTTTTTTTTTTATATTACCAAGTGACGTGACGGGACGAACAAGTCCTGCGCCTGGTGGTAAGCGACACGCTTTTAATCGTAAAGATCTTAGAGGTACTGCTACTGTGCCCGTCATCGTGAGACATAAGCTAACAAGTCCCATGTGCCTGTAATTTCGCCAGCACCCTTGCCCTTCCAAACCGGCGCACAGTAATGCTCACAATACTGCTTGGCGGCAGAAATAGGTAAAGTGGCAGTACTTCCCGAACTTTTTCACAAGCTCTACCGCTACTCAACTGTCTAAGTTAGTTTACGACATACAATACTTCGATTTTACATGACGTACATGTTATGGCGAGCGAAAAATCGTGGATAACTACATTTCTGTTATGTCATGTTTATGTCTTGAGATACTAACACATACTTGTACTGTCCTTACCTTGTTGCGCTGGTTGTTGCAAGTCAAGTTGGAAAGGATTCCCGCAGCACAGGTCACGATGTTTACGTCGGTGGAGGCTAGCACCTGCACCAGGCTTGACAGCAGACCCTCAAGGCCCTCCACCTGCAACATTTTAAGGTTTATCGTGAAAAGATGCTAGTAATGTAGAGACTATGTCCAGTACAAATAGTACATACGGACAATCGAATTATGCAGAACGAAAGCAGTTCGTTTTCCTTGTCTGAAATATATGTATATTCTAACATTTCAACCTCACAAACGGAATAAGAAACAAAAACTTAATTCTTTTTTAGGTCCATTATTATTATAAAAATAATTTACTAATTTCATAAGTGACATTCTGATGTTAACGTGAAAGACCTCTCCGCTCTGGTAGACAACGGAATTAACAATACTACATTAAAGTTGAGTCTAATTTGCAACCTTTTACAAATGCAGAAAATTGGTCGACAGTATCATAAAACAGTATGAATGGAGTATAATAATATGACAGCCAAGGTACAACTATTTCAACGTTTTACATGAAAATTAGCAAAGTTACCTTAGTGGCAGCATCAGACAAGTTCCTCAGAGTCCAGAGGCAGTTCTGCACGAGGCGGCCGCTGGGGTTCCCGAGATGCATGGCCAGGGCTTGCATGCCGCCGGCCTCTACGATCGCTGGCTTGTTGCTTGAGCATACTGAGAGAACCTAATGGATACAAGTATCAAGGTTAGGTTAAAGTCTGTTTGTGATATTACATGTATGAATGTAACATCTATAGGTAATGAATACATCGTCGGTGTCTTTTTAGAAAGGCCGTAAGTGATATTTCGATAACTTTCAATTTATTTAACTTTTGATGCATGCGTCTGAAGTTTCGTAATTGACATACAATCATAGACAAAAAATACAATGCTCCCTGGATTCTTTTACTTTTTAATTTTAGTGAAGCGATGTGCTCTTTAGCTCCGATATTTATCGAGCCAACCATTGACTTACAATTATATGGACGTCGGGTCCGCGCTAAAAAGTGTCCGCACTTGAAAGGCGCTAAAATCGTATACAGAGCGCGACACTCCGCTTTAGTCTTCATTTGTTCTACGGACAGCGCGATACTGCGATGACATAACAATTTAAATTTCGAATAGGTTGACTTGGGACATTTTTTTCGTGGTTTTTGTATTAGATTCGTCCATTTATTTGTAAGTCAATGGAGCCAACAGATTATGTAACAAAAATTATTCAAGTTGATAAATTTTGGTACCTGTCTAAGAAATTATAATGAAATGAAATAAATTATACATAATTATAATACATTTTTAGTGTTTATTATAATGAATTGTCCGATTCTTCTCCATATGAAATGGAATCATCACTTGAATCCTCATTAGCATTAATTTATTAATTCTTATAAATACACAAATAATTATCAAACGCAATATCACGATCCTAATAAAACAATATCTTATTTTTGAAACCGCCACATTAACGATTTAAACTTCTCCATAAATAAAATCGATTGTTATAAAAAAACGAACTGGAAACGCATTAGGACAACATTAATTGATTAGAAGTCGAGCTTTCGAAAGTTAAATAAATCGACTCATCCACAGAACAAAGACCTATTTGCAAGATGCTGTTTATTCTCGGGACATTGTACATTTTGTTTGTTGTTCTTGACTTCGGACATCTACAGTTAAAATCGACTGTTGTTCGATTTTATATTTCCGAAACGAAATAATAAATTCATAAAAAATCTGAAAACAAAGGTGTTTTCAGATTTTTTATAGATAGATATAGGCCTTTTGAATAACGAGGATTAAGTTCTAACCTCTTTTCGCTGTATAATCACATCGCACTTTGTTCTTCGGATGAGTCGAAATGGTTGGACGGAGTAAAATGGTTGGACGGAGTAAAACGGCTTTTAAAATATTTACGTCCTGTTTTAAAATTCAATTTTCGAAATGTCGCTTACGCCTTTTCTACAAAACATGGATGATCTATATTTGAACAAAGTAACAGGGCGATTTGTGAATATTTCTTTTGTGAATTGTAACAATAATATTTCATCCAACTTAGAATAATTATACCTCCAAAATACAAACTCTATTCCGAAACAACTGTTGCCAAACCCGTATTTTGAAATAAATGGTTTCCATTCTATTCTAATTCCAGCAGTGAAACATAATGTGGATCGATGTTGAATAATAAAAATGACCAGAGTTTTTAGTCACTGAATTACTTATAGTTTGGTTAGAGACTTACCTTCAGCACCCTGGAGGTGGTCCACAGCAACTTTTCATAGTCGTAGGAGCGCATGATGCGCACCAGTTCGATCGGTCCTTGAGAGGCGAGGATGATAAGTTTCGATTCCTGGTTTCCATACGCTAAGATTTGCAAGCAATCAGTCACAATTGCGAGGAACTTAACATTGTTCCTCTGCAACAGAGCTACCATTTTCTGAAGACCTCCAGCTAGACGTACGGCCATCTTGGAACCATCTTGGTGCAACAGAAGGTTATGCAAAGTAGTGATAGCATAGAAAAGCACAGATTCGACTGGGGAGCTTAGCAGCTTGACCAAAGCGGGAATGCCTCCGCTCTTGAAGATAGCCAGCAAACCCTGACGATGGTGCGATAGATTATGCAGGGTTCCGACTGCTCCTTTGGTAGTCTCCAAGTCATTGGAGTTAGAAATAGCGCGCACTAAAGCGGCGACCATCTGAGGTGAGTTCATTATGGCATGGCGAGATGCTTCCTTCTTGGAGAGCTGGTGCACCATCATGGCAGCTTGAGACACTACCACTTGATCTTCATCATTGAGGAGTTTAATCAACTCCGGTATGGCACTGTAAATCACAAAATAGTTAGCAGAAATCATTCCTAAAAGTGATGCACAACTCGTAATGGACATCATACATAAAAAATAATAAGACACACAAGTTAATTAATATGGTTGACAACTTCATCATTGTCCACAATGAAAATATTTTGACACCTTGGGAAAGAAAGTATATTATCTCATTCATATCATGCTATATATCATACTCATTATACCAACCAACATTATTTATAAATCTATCCACAACTACTCGAGTACATTGTTTGTGAGAAGTTATTAGAATATTGAATAATTAATGATTATTAATTTAAAAATTTAATTTAAACATACATTCTATACACAATAACCTGAAGAGTTCAACTTACCGAGTTGCCAGGTCAGCATCATCCTGATAATTGATAAGGTTAACAACAGCGTGCTTGAGCATCTGCGAGGGTTCAGACAGACGTTGGACAGCCGTGGGCTGCGCTGGATCTAGCTGAGTGGAGGGTATCTCGATGCCTTCCTCTAAGGTTTCAGGAAACATGGCCGCGCGGACGCGCTGAGAGCGGGTCTGCGATAGCTGCTGGTTCATGTCTGGAAATAAGAAAAAAAATTAAACATTGACTTTTACGATGATGAAAATAACTTAAAAACGAGTTTGACCTTCAAAATGAAATATCAAATCCTAAATATCATATCATAGCCTACGCCCGCTGCCGTTTCCGTCACGTCACAGCCGCGGAATCTCATGATTAAGGGTCACAAATTGGTCCGAAACATGTCCAGCAAAAATACGACTTAAACACGTAAGTTATTTAGTTAACTTAATGTCTGAGTCTCACAGTGGTTTTCTATTAAAATCCTAAATATTTCTAAAACTCATTTCTAGGGTTTTCAAGTCCTGGAAAAAGCTCAGAATGATTCATAATTCCTAATTGATTTGGAATGTACAGGGAACCTAAACTTGCACCATGTGACATTCACGACTTATTTGAATTTACAGTAAGTGGCATCCATCAGGTGCAGCTAGTACATTCTAGATTATATTTATTATAAAATGAAATAAAAACATCGCAGTTTTTACTTCATTTGGTGAAAACCATTTAAGTTAAATTATTTTTACTACAGCAATTTCAATAATAAATGAAATTTGCATTTTTTTTTAATAATAATGGTTTTCAAATAATTTGGCTAGTATTAATTACATTTGGCAATAATGGATGATAAGATATTTCATGTTTAAGGATATATTTCCTTTTAGTGATGTATCTATTACTTTGAACACAAATTCTATTAAATAGGAAATTCAAAACCAATGAGTGGTACCTGAAAGCATTTTACAAATACAGTTGAAAATCTTACCATCAACTTGCTCTTGAGTAAATCCCTGAGCAAACCCCTGGTCCAAATCAAACATAAGCTGGTCTCCCTCCATCTCGTCATCCTCCTTGCCAGTAAGTGATGGCACCTAATGAAAGAATCAGTATATTAACATAAATTGTGTAAACAAAATGATATACTGCTACAAAACATGCAATGTTGAGTGTGTGCGTTATTTAAAAAAAAAAAAAATGAAATCTTATGCTTTTTTTGCAAGAAACAAAAAGAACGAAATTTGGCACTCAGATTTACAGACCTGCCTATCTTCAATAAAACAACTTAACTTATTAACATTTAGTAGTATACATCTTTCATGTCGATGGCACACAATGACATGCCTTATGAGAGCAGAGATTATTGCTACCAAAGAAGCATTACAATATGTAGTGGATAAATTGTCAAATGAGCAGTTAGTTGTTATTTCAACTGACTCAAAATGCGTGCGCTCTGCGGCACTTGACTCGGTGTGTCTCGGGTCATCGAGGTATGCGGTAGCCTATAAGGCTCTCCAGTTGATCCACAACATACACCGCGGAAGTGTGGGTCTAAAGCTCCAATGGATTCCCTCCCATGTGGGATTGCGCGGAAACGAAGTAATTGATGTCCTTGCAAAATCAGCCGATGAAAAAGGTACTGTATTCGACTGTAGGCCTTATGCCACCGAGATTATTCTACTAATTATGAAAAGACCTCTAGAAAAATGGGAATATCATTTCGGAGAACAGTTAGTGGATAAAGGCCTTGGAATAAGGTACAACAACCAAAAAAAAGAACCATCCAGAGTAATCCACATTGGGTACTCTGGTTTGATCCTGTCAATATTGTAAGAATATATTTTATATTAGCTTTTAGACTGCATTCTGGTCACATTCCAACTAATAAATTCTTTCATATGATGGGTTTTAAACCATCCCCATTGTGCAGTACTTGCAATAAAATAGAGGATCTGTATCATGTATTGGTGGAATGTAACCGTCACGTAACCCTGACGGGTATAAAGTTTGGGAATGTAAGTTTAGGCAATGGACACTAATTGTTGGCTCAGAGAGCCTGTATGTATTGGAGCTCTAAACTTGTATAAGTTTTTGAATATGTCCCTTGAGTAGGGAACCCAGTATTCCTCCCATGAGGCTGACATATTCACTCAAGGTGGCTAAAGCCTCAATAAAAAGTAGATTAAAAAAACGTTTAATATCAGCGCCTTGCGAAAGACTCCAGGGAAGTACTGCCACCTTACCTGTTGCTGCAGCCAAGCAGTAATGTGAACTTGCTGCGTTCCGGTTTCGAAGGGTACTGGTGCAATTACAAACACATGGGACTTGTCAACTTATGTTTCAGGATGTCGGGCACATTGGCAGTGACTCTGAGATCTTTGTGATTTAAAGCTCTGAAGTGGCACTGCAACTGTTAGGGACAGTTGTTACCACCAGTAACACGACTTGTTCGTCCCGGCACTTACTATTATAAAGAAAAAACATCCTTCCTTTTAATTTAATTGATAATAATTTTGTAGGTTTGTAATATAAGATTCTCAGCATGTTAAACTTGACATTTTAAATACAACTCTATGTCGTTAATGATAAGAATAGCATTCATGACAATTTACCTGAGTCGCAGCTCCAGAGTTGATGCCTGAATCCACCAGGTAGGAGTTCTGCTGCCACAACAGTGTCTGCTGCTCCTTGCTTGGTGCCATTGGTACATCTGACCCACCATAATTGCTGTGCGACACTAAAAAAATACATTAAGATTAGCACTGTTGGAAAACATTTTTGCACACCTTCTGTAGGTTGTCTGCGATTGTTTCGAATTTTGATTTAAATTTTAGTATTCCTTGGCACGACGACTTAAGAATCAATACATTACGTTCCTCATAACGATAACTTGGTTGTTTTTATTTTTGTCCAGATTTTGTGGGATAGAAGACTCCTGCCTTCACAATGGTTATGGGCTATGTTCCCACAGTATTTCCACTAGTTTAGTTTACGTGATTTTATTAAGACTTTAGTTTTGTGTGACATTATAAATTTTAATATTTAAGAAAATATAATTTTACGAAAGTGACGCAAAATAGTTCTTCATTCACTGACATAGTCATGAGCAGGGCAGCAATGAAATTATTATTAATCGACCTAAACATGGAAATGTCATTAAATGTAAATGGGTTTTCAAAGAAAAAGTTGATAGAAGTGGTAATTTTAGAAAAAAGTAAAGCTCACTTGGTTGCAAAAGGTTTCACTCAGCAATATGGTGTGGATTATATAAGAGACTTTTGATACTTTCATGATACTTCACAATATCGAATCATACTTCATTACGTAAACCATTCCCCTGAAGGATAAAGTGGACAACTCGATTTATTTGTGCTAAATAGTGTGTTCCACTGCTTGCGCTCACCATGCTGACAACGCACCCAGCCCACGAAACGTTGTCTCATGTTTCTAAATTGTCTAGTCACATTATCAAACTAACTTGTAAAGCAAACCTAGTATATCAAATATGTATGTATATAATAGAAACTTGTAGATTTATTAAACAACACCCTGACTTTTACACTAACACTGACGACCTGCCTCAACGACACACTTTTAGACCACGCAATAGATTGCTTCTGCCACGATCTCGGCTACACATACACAGCTCAAGTCCCCACTCGATGTCGGTGAGGATATTCAATGAGCTCCCGCCCATTATTAAAAACGAGGAAAAGTATTCACTGTTTCTAAATAAATTAAAATTACATCTTATTAATAAATGCTATTACAATTTAAATGAATACTTTGATGACAAATAAAAATAATAATATTATAATAAATTTGAATAATAAATAAATGTTAATTATAGACTATAAAGTTATGCTACTGTAATCTAATTAAATTCAAACTTTCAAGTGACATAATTCTACTCATAATGTGACGTATTTCTTTATTATTATATGACATTTTTTCTTTATATTATTATTTGATAAATAACAATTTTAATTAATAATTGAAACCTCGGCATACCTCTGCTGTTATTGTTATCCCTAATAAAGGGCTCATATGTGTAGCATTATATTAACTCTAAGACATGTTTACCATATGAATGCAATAAATATATTGAGTATGTAATATAAGTACCTATAGTGTGCTCCTATCCATTTTAAACAAAAAGTAAACAACCGTTTCGTTAAAATTCTAAAGCAATCACTCAATAAACCAAATAAGTAACACTGTCACATATATTTCCAAGATTTCGACTTGGTATCTCATCACTTTTGTCACCAATATTCATTTGATTGGCAACATAAAATCGTATTTGAAAAATGGTAGTCCAAAAGTGAGGTTATTTTTCATCTATACTTCTATGACTTGTCTATTGGTTGCATAGTGCTATAAGAAAAAAAACATTCATTGAATTTAAGTTTTTGTAATCGATTAGTAAATCGAAAATTTCAATCGCAATCGAACGAGTATCTAAGTGTAAGGATTTGAAAGATTCCAAATTAAGATTTCGGGAATTTTAAATATATGCTTTTATAGGTTATGTATTTTCACTATTTTTATGTAAGAAAAATCGCTAGAATGACTAAGTTAAACATTGATTCATTCAATTGAATGAATTCATTCATTAATCGATTTGAAGTTGACATTACAAGTAGCCATCACTAAATGGTCTATGGTCAGGTCAGTGACTTATTTGTTTATTTTTTGTGTAAAATTGATTGAAACAAAGTAAGCATTTAATTGTTTTGATTGTTATTATTGTAAGTTTAAGTTGCATTTTTATAAATAAAATAAATAAATAAAAAAATTGAAAAATACAGTATAGGTATAGAATGTGCCTAAAATTTTGTTAAATTAGTTCTGGGTAGTATGCTCAGATTCTTGCGCTGGTACAGTCAAGAGCATGTCAAGCATGACACTTTGAACTTTGGACCGTTCTTATTGTAAGCGGCATAGAGTTGGATTTAAACCTTAAGTGTCAAGCTTGATGTGCTCTTGACCCGGTTCATGGTGTTCACAAGTTTGGTATCAGATAATTGGTACGTTAAAGTTCTTGTGAAATAGATAGCAAATACAAAGAAACCTCATGAAAATAGTACTCATTCGAAATCACGCAATATGACACATAATGTGATGAGCCGCCTTGCATTTTCAGTAATAAATGGCCTTAGCTTAACGTCTGACTGACTAAAATGTATTATGCAACTCTGAAACCAGTATTATACTAAATGTAATTTCCATAAATCCTTGTTGAAAATTTCAATTATAAAATGCCATAATACTTAATATTTTTGTATTCGAGACCTTAAAGAACAAAAATGCAATGTTTATAGCCATAAACATGTGTCCGAGTATATGTATGATTGTAAGAGTAACTGTTTAGCTTTGTAAATTTTTTACTCCTTGTAGTCAAAGAATTGCAATTAAACAAATGCTAAGGCCTATTTTCATGCTTGTACTATCACTATAGAAAGCTAAATATAAAAAAGTTCAATTCATTATCCTTAATGGTTTTTTGAGCTACAGCTGCATGTATGTAATAAACCATTGTAAAATGTATTGAATAAAAAAAAAAATGATCACCTGATGTCAACAAAGGCAGTAAAATAGGTCATAGGAATGGAAAGCTGAAAATTACCTAAAATATATGTGATTTGATATGATGCCCGTAATATTATGATTAATACAGTCGAAAGATCAGATTCTTACAGTGCAGTACAGAAAGTAGACAATACCTATACAGTGAGTCACGATATCTATCAGGTACTGTTACTATAATGTTACCTATAAGTACGTATTGTATACATATGATAAATAATATCTAAATATATATATTACTTACTTGTGCGACTTTGAGAAGTCGGAATCTGGTAGCTCATGATTTAGAGGATGCAGCTATGCACCCTGCGTCTGCGAGAAAAAAAACGTATGTATGCATCGATCTTCACAGAATGCACCACCATTACGTATTGATTCACGAACAAACAAACATTTACAGAAGAAATCAGCAGCTTACTTAAACATTTCAAGATGTATCGTGTTTTAAGCAATCCAAGAGTTTATTTTGTGAATATAACAAAATAAACAAAAGTGGTCCGGGTGAACTAATTACCACACCCGACCTAAGACTAATCTGCGAGGTATAGTAAGATGTTTCTCATGATTATTAACTGCTTATTATGTATATTTTAAGTAAAACAGCTTACCTTATATATTATAAGACGCAATTAAATGGTTTTACAACGTTTTAACGACAATTCCAAAAATCCCAAACGCAAGTTTTACACGGCCACAGAATTTGACAAGACAATATGGCGTCTGTTCGGTATTTGTCGCTCTCATACGGAATCGTTCGTACATTGTATTGCGTACTCATTTTTCAATAGAATTTTGTATATAGCTATCTCCTTCACTCTTCAAAGCTCAGTTATGCCAACGTAACAAAATTAATCGTCAACAACGAAACGGTTCGTTACTCGCATTTTTTATGGTTTAGAAGATCAAAACGAACAAAAAGGCGTTATCGAAGAAAGTTCTCCAGAAATATGAACCGGATAATTAGATAGCACCCAGCCTTTCAATACCTCTATTCTACACTTAGAGTGGTTAAACACGGCGACTTTTAGCAGCGATGCAAACGCGCGTTCGTGAAACGCGCCATATCATCGCTATAACTTGCGATTTACAAGCGATTGCATCGATGCAAACGCGCGAGTGCATCGATACAAACGCGCTATTGCATCGATTTCACTGAAGTGTAGCGATGCAATCGCGCGTTTGTATAGATGCAGTCGCGCGCTTTTGCATCGCGTTTACATCGCTGCTAAAAGTCGCCGTGTGTAATCGCTCTTAAGTACAAAATTTTCACTTTTAAGAGATTAATGACAATAAGTCGTGAATTTCATTCAAGTTTCATCGCTTTCACAGAATTATTGGACGCGCGGAGCATTGAGCCGGCGCCGCGGCCCTACACGAGGCAAAGTCAAAGTCAAAGTCAAAGTCAAAGTCAAAGTCAAAGATTATTTATTCCATAGGTAAAATAAATTTACACTTGAAATCGTCACATTTAAGCTACTGCTCGTTCACTACGCTGACCTCCCTGACAAGAACGAGCAAGAAACTCTAGGGATTGCTCTTTTCAAATAAACTTAAATGCTATGGAATAAATACACTTTGAATCAAATTTTAGTGGATTCTGGAGCCATGTCGTCTTTCCGTACATCTTTATCTAATACGTAGTCTTCAATTTTGTAATATGATTTTTCGATCAAAATATTTTGAATGTAGTTTTTAAACTTAGGAAATGATAAACTTAACATATCATCATAACATAACATACAATCTTCTTGTAAAAACGTATACAGTTCCCCATAAAAGAGTTGTTTACCTTGGTTAAACGAAATCGTGGTACCATGAGTTTGGACTTAGCTCTAAGGTTAATATTATGGATATCTTCTTTCTTATTGAAATTATGTATATTTTTACGAGCATATAAAATATTTGAGTAAATGTACTGTGATGCCACAGTCATGATACCAGTCTCCTTAAACTTTTCTCTGAGAGAAACCCGAGAGCCTAGACTCTAGACGGTACACAGAACGAATCGCTCGTTTTTGCAATACAAATATGGTTTGAATATCTGCCGCTTTACCCCACATGAGAATCCCGTAGGACATTATACTATGGAAGTAACTAAAGTAAACTAGTCTAGCAGCATCGGTAAGCTCACGTATTCTGCGGACTGCGTATGCAGCGGAGCTTAACCTGCTGGCCAGGGAAGATATATGTGGAAACCATTGAAGTTTACTATCTAAGGTCACTCCCAAGAAGACTGCTTTATTAACAAAGTCTAACTTTTCTCCGTTTATTTCTATGCTTGGACTAGTCGATTTTACGTTAGGTAATTCAAATTTAACACATTTTGTCTTCTTGGCATATCTAAGTAGATTTGTGAAGTACTTGAGTATCGGTAGGTAAGCTTAGATTACAGTTAGAGCATGTTCTAAGATCGGTATATGTATATAGGCCAACGATCCTTTTTTAAAGTATTAGCGCCCAGTTACACGAGGAGAAAGGTATCGCGCGGCCGCCACGCGGCGACCGCCCAGTTACCACGCCTTCATGTACGTACATTAATGGTGAATCTGATTCTATTTACTAGGCAACAACATTTAAATTTCTCTGAATAATACAACCGCGCGGTCGTTGCGCGGGCCGCCGCGTAGACCAAATGCAAGTGTGGCGTGTGGTGCGTGCCCGAGACGCTCATTTAAGTTAAAACGTAAAAGCTACATAAATACAACGTATTTTGCCATGACAGTTGGACGCACGCTGTCGCTGCGCGGCGGCAACGCGATCTCCGCTCGTCGACCTCGCGGCGGCCGCGCGGGGTGAGCGCGATGAAATTCGTGTCGAAGAAATGCGCCCTTAATTAAATAACGCACACACTCAACATATTTTTTAATTGATAGAATATATTATTTAATTGATAGAATATGCTAGGTAGACATCGTCCAACAGCTAGTAACTGGCTCAAAGTTTTTTCTTTTCTTTTGAGGAATTTGACAATAGTCATATTTATAAGGAAACTAGTTTTCGTTCTGTTTTACAATCTTTTCATCTATTTTATTTTATGATTTTAGTCATCACATTTTTCCATTACTTTAATATTTGATTTTAAGTAGTATAGTACCTATTTTAGTCATAGAGTAGGATATTAAAATAGAGTATACTGATACCAAATATATTTATGCAAATGCCAAATATGAAACCAAATTCGGTACAGTCAGCTCAGTCTACTACGTCACGTGGAAACCAGTATAGTGAAGTATCAGAAACAGATTCAGACATTACGATATTCGTCAAAGAATTCAAAAGGCGAATACAGACCCAATTGGACCTCGATGATGAGAGTCACCCATTTATTATTTTTGATGAAATGAAATATATCCCATGCGACGAGACAAGTTGGTTGCACGATAATAACTACAGGTTCTTCAAAGACACACCAAACGAAAGGGTGGTAGCAGAAAATTTCTTGTCGGAACTGGGGTACATATGTTCTATGACGTATTCGCCAGATGGTGACTACATTATTACGGGACATTCAACGGGAATGATTCAGGTACATATCTGTTTTACATTATCCATAACATTAATTGTCTATAATCATATAAGTAATTTTTATGATGCTGGAACACTGACTGTTATTGCTTCACGTTCGTTCTTACCTATGTTACAATTCCACTAATTATGTATATTTGACTTAAAACATAACATTATAAA